GAGGGACAGGGCGGGGTGGGTGGCACAGCCAATGTCCCCCAGCAACTCCTCCCTGGGGCCCACGGGTGCCAGCTGACCACGGGATGGGATGGTCCCACCACAGCCACGGGACCAGCASTGCCCRGGCACAGCGAGAAGGRARAGGAAGGGAGAGGAAGAGAAAGGAAAGGAAATTTCAGAAGGGAAAGGAAGGGAAGAGGCGTCTGCTGCAGCGCCCGTGCCCACAGCGGAAGCGAGGGACAAACACGCCACGGGGCTGGAGCTCCTGCGGGACAGGATCAAACGGGCAGCCAGGCCAGCACGAGGAAGGACACGCTGAATGTGGCACAGGGTCCATGGGGACTCTTGCTGTGTCCAGCAGTGGCCCTGACCAAAGCACCAAACCCAACACTGCCGCTCCGCCCTGAACCCCACAGCACCGCAGCCATGGCCAAGCACCTTGTGCCAGGTGTGCCCGCACCAGGGAGCCCAGCCACGTCCCCACAGTGTGCCAGGAGCAGGTGGGCAAGCAGCAACACCCGTCCCCATGCCCTGTGCCCAGCGGGCACCGTGTCAGTGCCAGGACAGCAGGACAGCGCTGTACATGGGCCACCCTGACCCCACAGCGGGATCGTGTCCCCACACTGCCCGTGGCACCAGCCCCGTGCCGCACCGCCAGGCTGGGCAGGTCCTGCCCGAGCTTGTCGGGCTGCCAGGAACAGGTCGGGCAGGAGCCGGTGGCTCAGTCGGGCCGGTCCCGAGCCAGCTGCGCCGCGGGCACGGGTTCCACCGGGACACCGAACCTGCGGGGAGGCTGARCCCGCAGGGACACGGGCAGARCTCGAACCGACCCCCGGGGCCACARCCCKCCCTGGGGACAATCACCCAGCCCGAGAGTTCTGTCACAAGGACAGGGGACAACCTGCTCAGGGAAACACCACACGACACCGAATCCATCCTGGGGGACCCCAGATCTGTCCCCGCGGACCCCAGATCTGTCCCTGGCTGTCCCRAGYCCGTCCGGGGGGGATAAAGTCAGCRCAGATGTCCTGTYCTCGTCCCCAGCTGCGAGGGGTCCCTATCCTGCYGCAGAGGAACGGCCCGGCCGGGAAGGGACACCCCAGATCTGTCCCCGGGCACGGGGAGCCCACCGGGGGCTGGGAGTTTTCGGGGTGCACACACACCCAGGGCTGGGATGGGCGGAGTGGCATCYTGCACCCGGAAAAGGCACCCAAGAAAGGTCCCGGAGTCCGGTGACAGCGGCAGGGGAGTGTGGCGGGACCCGGTAACGGCGGGGGAGCACCGGGGAGGGGAACAGGAGAGCGCCAGGGGCCCGTACCGGGGATTCGGAGGGAAAGGAAGGGATTTAGGCGTTACCTTCAAGGATGACCTCCCTCCCGGCTCTCTTCAGCGCCTGCACAGCTTGATCGTGGGTGGCATCGCGGAGATCGACGCCGTTAACGGCGAGGATGGCGTCGCCTAACCGGAGCGCCCCGCTCCTTTCCGCCGCCAATCCCGGGAAGATCCGTGAGATCAGCACCGGCATCCGATTCTCCCGACCTCCCTTAATGCTGATCCCGAGCCCTCCCGCCTCCGCTTTCACCACCCGCACCCTCCTCACGCCACCGGGTGCCGCCGCCGCCGCYGCCTCCGCGCTGCCGTTCACCACGCCGTTCACTACCGACGGCTCCCCCGCTGCCGGTTCCGCCGTTAAGCTCAGCGTTTCCCCGGTCAGCTCCGCGGACACGCGGACCCAGCGCTCGCGGAGGAGCAGCTCCAGCAGCCCGGTTTTACACGCCCGTGTCCACACGGCCATGCCGCCGCCGCCGCCGCCGCCGGTCACCGGGAGAAGGGGCGTGGCTTCGAGGGGGCGTGGCTTCRTGCCCCGCCCCCGCCCGCATGGCGCGCGGCGGTAGGCTCGGCAAAGCCCCGCCCCCTCCGCCCCTACCACCAATCGCAGCTGAGGCGCCTCAGCCTCCGCCGCTGTGATTGGTCGAGCCGGAGGGAGGGGCCGCCGAAACCACGCCCCCACGCCATATCTCCCGCCGGGGTTTGTTTGGCGCGCTGCGAKCGCACGCCCTGCGCTTCAAACCGCTCTGGGTCTGCGGGATCCCGATCGCACCGGGGCCCGCCATCCTCGGG